TGAAAATAATCAACGTTTTACGACGCTTTAACATATGGCCAGTCTACTGGAAATATCTCCCAACCAAATGACAACCGAACAACAATGCCCTCCTTTTGATTTCTCTCTTTCTCACATCCGAACACGCATATGTGCAAGTATTGTATACACACGTACATACAACTGCCTACGTGCAACACAGATGCACACGAATAAGTAACAAATATGTACACGTAGGCACATATGAAAAAAAAGGTCTTCTTCGTCTTCTTCTTCTTCTTCTTCTTCTTCTTCTTCTTCTTCTTCTTCTTCTTCTTCTTCTTCTTCCTATCCTTTATGGCTATTGGCAGTATTTTGTCCTTTTGCTAAGGCTCCCGCACTTGGTTCGCTATCCACTCATACAAACTCGTCAGGTCGAACCAGATTTTCAGCAGACGTTCTAAATTAATTAGTTGTGAATTTGATCCAATTAATTTTTGTACTAACCTTTTTTTCTTATCACTTTTGAGAAAGATAATCCCCAAAATATATGATACAAATACATAATCTCAAAATCACTGACAAGATTTTCTTCTATGTGTATCCAAAGTTTCCGTCATTTTTAATTTATTTTCCATTTGACAGGAAATGTTTGTTCGAATCAAAGTCTTCTGCGTACATTTGATTTTTTAAGACCTTTTCTCTATATATGTTTCGGCTTCAAATAAACCACGAAATGTTGATAAGTCATAAAAACAACCAATAAAGAAAGAATGAAAATTAATGTTGTACTTTAATAATTATGTTCAGATAAAATCATCTTACATTTACCAGAAACATGCTTCGTTTTTACTGTTTTCTTTTGTCTATCTATCTATCTATCTATCTATCTATCTAGATAGATAGATAGATAGATATTTTTACATATGGTCTAGAAACTTCTATGCACACACATACACACACATATATATATATAGTTGTGTACTTAGTAATTCCTCTCCAATACATGTTTCCATAAAAATGACTGACAAGGTATTTCTTTTAAATTATTAATGTATTATTCTTGTATGCAAACAAGAGATTCCATTTTTTCAACTTAATGATCCTAGAAATGAATTCCTGTTCTTTACGTGCGCTTTTGGTTAATTAATTAACCATTTTGAAGGAGTTTGGATGTGTGATATTGTAAATGACTTCTCACTGGTGTTGCAAACTGTCTAAGGCTGCCGAAAGGTAAACATATTCTTACTTTCTGCATACAACCTTGCCACTTGAGTGCTTCTTTCTCCTCATTTCATTCTTCACTTCCTGATATTGGGCATAGACCTTGCCACTTGAGTGCTTCTTTCTCCTCATTTCACTGCACTTCCTGATATTGGGCATAGACCTTGCCACTTGAGTGCTTCTTTCTCCTCATTTCACTGCACTTCCTGATATTGGGCATAGACCTTGCCACTTGAGTGCTTCTTTCTCCTCATTTCACTGCACTTCCTGATATTGGGCATAGACCTTGCCACTTGAGTGCTTCTTTCTCCTCATTTCATTCTTCACTTCCTGATATTGGGCATAGACCTTGCCACTTGAGTGCTTCTTTCTCCTCATTTCACTCTGCACTTCCTGATATTGGGCATAGACCTTGCCACTTGAGTGCTTCTTTCTCCTCATTTCATTCTTCACTTCCTGATATTGGGCATAGACCTTGCCACTTGAGTGCTTCTTTCTCCTCATTTCACTCTGCACTTCCTGATATTGGGCATAGACCTTGCCACTTGAGTGCTTCTTTTCTCCTCATTTCATTCTTCACTTCCTGATATTGGGCATAGACCTTGCCACTTGAGTGCTTCTTTCTCCTCATTTCACTCTGCACTTCCTGATATTGGGCATAGACCTTGCCACTTGAGTGCTTCTTTCTCCTCATTTCACTCTGCACTTCCTGATATTGGGCATGACCCACGGCTGGATTTTCCTTCGCCGTTTACCCCCAAAATCCTCAGCTATTGTAAATAACACTTCTATTAGTCAATATAATATATATATATATATATATATATATATATATATATATATATATATATATATATATATACAGTGGGGTAAATAAATATTCGTACACATGAAAAATTGTATTTTTATAAATGTAAAAACCTTAACTAAAGTAAATTTTGATACATTTTATGTGTAAAGATACATTTTATTAAAAAATAGTAAGAAACTTAATTAATTCTTATTCTAACAGAAATTAATGCATTTTTCCTTGTAACTGATGAAAAAAGTATTCGTACAAAACAAAAAAAGCATATTAACTTAATTTAATACTTTGTGGAATATCCTTTATTGAGTTCAACAGCTACCGGTTTATTCCTGTACGTCTCAACTAATGATTTGCACACATTGAGTGGTATTTTGTCCCATTCTTTTTGGCATATTGTCTTCAAATTCTTTGTTTGTTCTCTTTTCCCAATTAGAATTTTCAAATATCGCCATAAATTCTCGATTGGGTTCAAGTCTGGGGACTCTCTTGGCCATTGCAAGACATCAACGTTATTTTCATCTAACCATTTCCTTGTAGATCTAGTGGTATGCTTAGGATCATTATCCATTTGGAAAACCCAATCAGGAGGTAGCCGAAGTCTCTCAATAGAACGCATTAAATTGTCTTGCAGGATTTTCTGGTATCTTTCGGCATTCATCTTGCCATCTATTATTGATATTCTGCCAACATCTTTTGCAGAAAAACAGCCCCAGATCATGATACTGCCACCACCAAACTTTACAGTTGGCAGCGTGTTCTTTGGTAAGTAGGCTTCATCGCCCTTCCGCCACACATGATTTCGATAATTATGACCAAACAACTCTATTTTAGTTTCATCTGTCCATAATACTTTTTCCCAAAACGAATATTCTTTATCCTTATGCTCTCTAACGAATTTTAGCCTAGCATCTCTGTGTCATTTCAAGAGGAGTGTAGTCTTCCTTAGGATGCGTGATTTCAGACTGTTTTTGTGCAGTTCATTACTTATTGTATGCTTGGTTACTTTAATATCTAATGCACTCAGATGTTCCTGCAGCTCTTCTCGGGTAACCTGTGGATTTTGTTGGATCTGGCGTCTTAATATCCTTGCTGATCTTAAGAATTAATTAAGTTTATTATTTTTTTTTAATAGTATGTGTCTTTATACATAAAATGTGCCGAGATTTGTTTTATTTAAGACTTTTACATTTATAAAAATACAATTTTTCAAGTGTAAGAATATTTATTTCCCCCCACTGTATATATATATATATATTCTAAGAAAAGGTTACAAGTTGTGAGAAAAATTCATATTGAATATAAAAATTAATTCATGTAATTATTCCTAAGTATTTAAAACTCGATACTTCCTCCAGTGTATTAGAATGTAAGAGATTTGTAGAATTAGTTTTATCCAATATATACTAACATCTAATTTAATTTTTATCTATAAAAATCAATTTAATTAAAATCTGAATGCTATATAAACAAACATTTCAATATTTTAAGGAAATTCAAGTAACATATTATTTTATGACATATAATGTTATCATTTATATTTAAAATGACATAATTATTGTTTGGCCAATACAAGGCCCAAGAAATAATCAAGGTAGAGGGAAAATTAATGAATTTTTATTCTAGACGTAAGATGAAAAAGATAAAAGTTGTAGATTATGAAAATATGTAGTTGACCCTGAGCTTGAAGGTTGTTGTTTCTGAAGAAGCGTCAAATAGAGAGCCTGTTCTACAAAGCAACATCCCTTGGGGGGAAGATGTCAGAATGGAACTTCCTTCCTGTCAAAGGAATGTGGATGCTTCTCCCCTGTGTAAATAACACAGCGGTTCTTAGCTGTAAATGTCTTAACTAGTATATCTAAGAAACGTAGATCGTCAAAACATTTTCTATAGAAATAGCGATAGTATAGCAACAGGCTTGCGATGTAGTGTCTGCGAGAAAGGGTTTGCAGTGTGAAAAATGCAAATGATTACATATTTGATAATATTTAAATAAATTTAACTTACATTTGTTTTTGGTAAAAGATTAATGACTATCCTAACATTCTAATGAAAAGATTATTTGAAGAAGTTTAATTTTAATTTAACTCCAAGTAAAAAGATAATTTCATTAATAATTTTGTGAATTTAATGACATTTTAATATTTTCACTATTTTAGCTTCACTTTCATTTGTGATATCATAAGTAGGGTTCGTTAAAAATAACCACATCACTTGAAGACTTCCAACAGTAGCAAAAACTAAAATGAATAGCGTATGTAACTCGAAGAGAAAATAATGGCATAATTCCACAAAAGAGTTTGGACAGAAAGCCAATCAATGGGAGAAATAACAGTTACAGGATTTGAGATACATATTTTCCTGAAAATTTGTTTTAAAAAAAACATTTTACATATTTCTAACCGACATTAATGCTAACTGTTCAGTCACTGAATGCCGAATGATTCAATATAAAGAAAAGGCTATTCACCCCATTGAAAATGGCTATTCACCCCATTGAAAATGGCTATTCTCACCTACAAAATTTTCATGTGACGCGCAGGGGAAGGCATACCCTACTTGGCGAGTTTGAGTCATTGGATGGCATAATAGCGTTTAAAAGATATAACCAAAAGAGAAAATGTATTAAGAGCTACAAAGGACAGGAAATTGTGGAGAGCCATAATCGCATACATCATGAAAAGACATGGTATATAGAATATCATACAGTGACATTTTTTGTTTTGACTTTAAATCCACGTCATTTTGATAGCGGGGGCATATTTTGATTTTTTTTTTTTTAATACTTATAAACTTATCAGGTTATTTAAAGGCAGAAAATATTTTACACTGTACGAACTTTGGGGAGATAATAGTGATTTTTACTGCTAAAGGTTCTACTAATTAACCCGTAGGTGAGGGAGGAGAGGTGGATTCATAATTTTCCTAAGGGTATTTACACGTAATAGAATACAACGAACCCGATTGGAATTTGAACTCGGGTACCCGATTTCCAATTCGAAGCCGTTAGCCATTACAGCACCTGATATTCCGAAGAGTTCACCAATCTAGGTACTGACCAGGCTCGGCGTTGCTTAACTTCATGATCGTATGAGAACCGTTGATTCAACGTGATATGGCATATATAGAAATTAATGTTTTGAAAAAATAGTAATATATTTTTTTCTGAATTATTTTGAAAAATAACGACAACTAAAACAACTGATACCAGCTCAGCGTAATATCATTTGCCATGGACTCATTTCCAGCAAAAAGGTGTGGATGCTGTAGACCTCTACCCTCCCCCCAGGCCTTCCTACAGTACTATTGATGTTGATTTTCCATTTCTCCAGTAGAAAACTTATTTATCTTTCCCAAAATAAATCCTTTTGATTTATATTTGCATCTCTCTCTCTCTCTCTCTCTCTCTCTCTCTCACACACACACACACACACACACACACACATAGACACACACACATATATATATAAGTATTTTGTAAAAACGCGCTCTTTGTAAAACGTATTCGTGCAAAATGTAAACACAGAAAGGCTTTTATGTATATAAAGACAAATAAAAAGATATCTAGCCAATGTATATTTTTAGATGTTTTGCATATATACATGTGTTTAATTTTATAAATGATATCTTTATTCTCATATACTGTATATACACTGGCGAAAATAAATTTAAGACCAATGGTTAACGTTTTATTCATTTCAGAATATTTTTCTAATAAAACAATGTAAATTAGTTTTGTTTGTGTACGCTTTATGCAGAATTTTTTTCTCTTTCTAATGATGTAAAAAAATTATATTTTTCTGCAACTTTTAATGCTGGATTAACTTAAATTATCTAAATTTGCCAGCAAAATAAGCTTAACACTGCATGGCATTATTATATTTAAAGCAAAAAGTTATCGTAAAAATGAGCAAAAGCTTGATAAGTAAGAACAAAAATCATTTGGAATAATTTGCCATATTTATTTAATATAATCGTATAATCGGGTTAAATTTGTCCGATTTTTAGCGTGAATTATTTTAGAAAAATAATTCGTTACTCCAAAGAACTCTACACCAGTTGTCAGCCGTCCACTGAATGTGACTTTTCGCGAAATTCATCCGCTTGAGTCGATTCCTCTCCGAAATAATTGGCTTTTTCTAGCAATGCGCCCGAATAATCCAAATTCTCTTAGATGCTTTCGGACAGTTTGCGATGTAAAACTAACGCCATTTTTACCAAATAACTGGCTGCAAATGTCCACGGCTGTCATCATTCAGTTAGCTTGGGAAAGCCTATGAATTCGCCTGTTTTTTTTTGGGGGGGGGTTCTTGGGGCTCCCGATCTTTGCCTATCCTTATATTCTCCAGTATCCTGGTAAAGCTTCCAAGCCTAAACACAAACTGTTTTATTGCTTGCTTATGTTCATAAAGGAAACATTTTGTTGATGAAGTAACACTATTTTTGATTTAGTCACTGGGCTAAGACAATGACACTTTCCCATAGTGTATTAATTGTATAACAATGCTCAGTTATTACACTTTAAAATACATTAATGACCAACCATGTGACCACCCATTTAGCAAATAATCTGCATAATATCCATGCGGTTTTAAACTTATTTTGCCGGCAAATTTCGATAATTTAAATTAATCCAGCATTAAAATTTTTCAAGTTGTAGAAAAATATAAAATTTTTACATCATTCAAAAGAGAAATAAATTCTACATAAAGTGTGCACAATAAAACTAATTTATATTGTTTTATTAGAAACATATTCTGTTTTAAACTCATGTCAGGTATATATATATATATATATATATATATATATATATATATATATATATATATATATATATATATATATTGTGTTGTTTTAAGTTTCAATGCCTCTTTATACATGTTTCGTTAAAGGCGACTGAAAAGGTACTGCGATTAAGCTTTTTATTTAATTTTTCTTGTGTTTTCTTTTCTAGATACAAAGCGTGTAAAAACTGTCCAAAAGTTCTGTATTTCCGAGTGCTTTCGGCTATACTTTTACCCATTAGTGAGGTTGATCTTAATTTTACTGTTAACTGAATGTTTGGGTTGTATGTATGTATATATCTAGAGTTATAGGAATGTTTTATTTTCAAAACACAGTCAGCACATTGTGGCCGTATTCATAGTTTGTGTTATTGACTGTGACTTTTTCTTTTTTATTATTAAGTCTTCCATTATTTTTTATCTTTTTTACATGTTGATGGGGTTATTATGTTTGTATTTTCTACTAGTATGCTTTAGATGGATGGAATCTGGTAGGTTTTGTGTGTGTTTAAATGAGTTCAAATGGATCTGTGATCTGATAGGTGTAATGTAAATCGTTTGGATAGGCATGTAGTCGTGTGACCGATGTAATCATTTATAAGTTTGGTTTGACCAGGAACACAGTTCCTTACGAGGTATTTGAACTCGTAAATAATGTTAGTTCTTTGTATTTTTCATTTTGCCGGTGTGTTATTATTTTTGTAAGGTTAGTTGTTTTCATTTTTCATAATAGATAATTTAATTTAATTTTCTTGTTCGTGTCGACTGGGGTTGGCTATTTCTTTATGATATTTCTAAGTAAAGATTTATCTTGCTTATAGCTAACGTGTATTTGGCTCCTCTCCTCAGTCATTTTATGTTGCTCATACCTATATGGATTTCTGATGGCGTAGCAAAAGGAAATGAGTGCTGTACAGTATACCAATATATTAAGATACAATTATATATAAACTTTCTTCAACAGAGTGATGGCGTTTCTTTTTCTCGTTTTCTTAATTCAATTTTGTTGTCGGATTGAGACTTGGTATTGGGCGCGGCGCCAAATGTGACGTTCTAACCCTTGGCTGATTCGGGTGGGAATCTGGTTAGATTCGGTATCAGCTTTGTCGTTCCCAGCTCGCCTCCAACGTCTGGTTACCGAAGTAACTGCTTTGATTTCTAGTCTAACCTACTCACGTTGTGATTCGATCTTAGGTAGACGAAATCAATCAGTCGCCAGGCCGCAATGCAAGCCGAACTCGAGTAAAGATGACACCGCACAAGTATATGTAAAAGAAAATAAAGTAACAACTCGAAAATTTCAAATGTGTTAAAAAAGAATAACAAATATTTTATATCTGGTTGCTGAATACAGGACTTCGTCTTTCTCCCAAACCGCTTATATGGATACGTGACACTTTGCGTTTGTTAGGCGAGTCTTAATATCTTAAGTTGTTTTTCAATAACTTTTTTTTTTTTTTTTTTTTGTATCGTCAGGCGATATTCGTAAAATTTGTTTTGGTGGTGTGAGTCTAAATCGTTCTTCAAAAATAAAGTCGAAGTCGAAGTGGGAATGCTTGGATCTTCAGTCAGCTTCTTGCGGGGCTGGTCTCAGAGCTCACAGCTCAACTCTGTCTGCGTTTGCGTCTCCTCGGAACTCTTCCGAACTCTCTAACTGCAACTCCAACTGCCGTCTACTCGCTGCGACTCTGTTTATATGGACGCCGACCAAAACCGGGTGTAGGCTTGTCGTGGTTTGGGTTCCTCGATAATTCTAAATCCACAATAAGGATTTTCTTTGTTTTCGGACAGGAAAATTTATCACTTTCCGTTTTTGGAAGTCCATTACTTTCTACCCCAGAGAGGTTCTTAAGGGAATCGTCCTCCCAAATTCTTCCTTTCTCTTATTGGTATATCACACCAATCCCCTCAGAGGGCGTCAACAGGTTTCCCTTCTCTCTCACAGTGGTATCTCACACCAATCCCCTCAGAGGCGTCAACAGGCCTCCCCTCCTTCTCATATGTTTACCTTCGCCCACCACTCAGCCAATGACGCTTGGCAGGGCGAGTGTTTACAATTATCGCTCAAAGGAAAAAAAATTATCTTCCTTTTTTCTTTTCTTTTTTTTCCCTACACCAGACCCCTACGACACGTAGTGTGGTCCTTAATCTTTATCTTAACCGAATGTCATCTGGAATTTATCAACGAGTGCATGACCTGATTGTGATTATCTTCCAGCTTCTGTTTCGTCGGCCACTTGACCAATTTGAAATTTTCATTATTGCCATGGGCAGATTGCTATCTTTTATTCGCCGCGTCGTAGCATAAATTAACTCAGATCCGAGATCTTACGAATTTCCTATCTTCTGTAAAAAAAAATACTTTTCTTCGCAAATGAAAATAAAATCTTGACCACTTTTCTTTGTTAAAAAAAAATAACATCGCTCAGTATGTCTTTTCGTGATAACTTCTTCTCGCCTTAATTATTTCTCGCTTTTAATTTTCACGCGACCGCTAAATAGTGTCACAGATTCTTATCCAATTCCGTCAAGCCCTATGAAACTGTTTTATGTACGACGTCACTTATATGATACACGTATATGTGAAATAAATTTGAATTTTAACGTTCCCCCAAAATGCCAGGATTCAGTCAAAAATATACTACCATACGGAAAACATTTAGTTCTTGATAATCACTAAAATTAAAAATAGAATATTGCTAAAAAATTTAGATAAAAAGGAAAATTCATTTTTATTCAAATAATCTAAGTTTAATCATTTTGCAGCATGAAATATATTTTCAAACAATAAATATATGCGTAACTCTTTTTTCCTTTTATTATAACACAAGTGAATAGGGAATAGGGCGTGGTAGTTTAATAAGAGGGTGGGAATTAAACTCTTTGTATTCACGAACGTCATGAATAGGCGCCGAGGTGGGGAAAAAGAGAAGATTGATTGGAGGATGAGAATTTCTATTCTTGTTTGAATGAACCAACACGTTGTATTATATTCATCATACTTTTTTTCTTTAATTTTCAGTAATACAGTGGCCTAAGAAAAGTTTTTAGCCAGGAGAAATAAACTATACCCAATTTCAAAATTTAATTACGTAATCCCTATTCAACATAAACAGTATTTGGAACTAGTATAAAGTAGGTCCTCCATTTGCTAGTTTCAGTGCTTGTATTCGATTTTTCATGGATTTGATCAAGTTATCAACAATCGTCTGAGCCATATTTTGCTACTACTGTCTCTAAGTTTTTTACACTTCCGTTTATGTATTATTATTATTATTATTATTACTATTATAAGTAGTATTATTATTAGTAGTAATATTATTAGTAAAGGCCAT